GCAGGCATTGGAGGACAAGGAAGAAAACATTTTACATTACCCCTCACACCTGCTCACCTACACTCCTAGTGCTTTCATCAGTCATTACAGATCTTTACACATGCTCATATAGATAAATGTGTGCTTGTGTGCACACACACACAAGCACTATTTATTTATTTATCTAACACAAACTAAACAGGCTAGCAAGGACACTTTCTGCCAGATAACATATGCTTACATACAGCTATGTATCTATGTATCATAGGATTTTAAACTCTTTAGCTAATTAGTTTTTAAAAGCATGCTGGCAGAACAGTATGATCAAGATGCTAGTTTCAGGCACAATGAACCTCCTCACATGAGCACAGAGTCCAACTGTTATATGCCAACTGCATCACTCATATAGCTGTAAGCATCTATCATAAATTACTGCAGACTTGCCCAAAACTGAGAGATAAATGCCTTTAGTTTGTGACATGAACTAACCCATGATCCACAGAGGACTTCACCAAAGCTTCTCTTGCTGCTTTTGTGGCTTCTCTCCAGCCTGCAATAATGGTTTGAGGATGGATCTTTCGTGCAATCAACAATTCTGCTTCCTGTTAATTATAAAAAAAAACCTCTGTAATTTACCTTAGTGGAGACACCAAATCAAATGAGTTCTTAAAAGCAAGCATGCCCTACCATGGTTCTATTTTGTCAGATATATCCTAGTTGCTAGAATATGGTTATGGTTTCAACTGGAGTCCTGGTTTGTTATATATCAGGGTTACCCTTGAAAATTACCTGGCACTTATAATTTGGATTAATATATGTTTTAATAATTTATTTCACATACATTGAAAACTATTAAGGAAAACTTGATGTAATATAAAAACTCTTATTTTTATAGAATTCTCGCAAGTTACAGCACTAAATTGTAAATTGCCACAGGAAAGAAGAAAACTATGGGCTGCATTTAGCACTTCTCATGTTCAGAACAATCCCACAGAAAACCTAGTCATGATTAATCTCCATCCATTTCAATTGGTTTATCCTAAATCCTGAGTAAATCTGGATTCAACCATATAAATATGTTCATAATATGAACAAAAACTCTAACAAGCTCAGAAACTAAATAAATATTTTTAAAAGATTAAGAACATGTTCCCACTATATTGCAATATTAGGCTGGCATACTTTTAAAACATGCAATATGTCAATTCAGTATCTCAATGTACTGAGATATTATGCTAATAAGATAAATAATTATGCTGAGATGATACAATTATACGTTTTACCCTTAGTAATTTATGAATTACCCATAAAAATGTTTTACCCTCAGCAGTTCAGCTGCCAGTACTGTTACTGAAGTAGTTCCATCACCAACTTCATCATCTTGAACCTTTGACATATCTGAAAGGAGAATGTTACCAAATCTTTATTGCTGAAACAGCAGATACTATTAAATCTGCATTCTACTCTCCACTCAGCTATGAGGCTCCCTCAGTGACTTTAGGCCAGTCACAAACTCTTGGCCCAACATACCTCACAGGTTTATGAAGATAAAATGGAACTATGTTAGTCACTCTGAGTTCCTCACAAGAGGAAAAAAGGCATGATATAAACGTAATGGAACAATAGCAATAGCATATTTAGTGAAACATACCAACCAAAACCTTGGCTGCAGGGTTGTCAACTCCAATAGCTTTTAGGATTGTTGCCCCATCATTTGTTACTGTCACTGTGCCTTCTCTTCCACTACTCAGCAGAATCTTGTCCTAAAAATTCACATTTGGCAATATTAATACCTGAATCAAAGTAACAAAACCACTACATATATCAGAACTCAGAAAGGTCTTACCATGCCTTTAGGCCCCAAAGTACTCTTAACTAGGTCTCCAATGGCAATGGCACCAACAAATGATGACTAGAGAAGAAGAAACATTATAAATACAATTGCAATCGGAATGAGTTCAAATATTCATTTATGAAAAAGGAAATGTATTTACTAGATTGCTGCATTTATAGGCCACTTTTCTTCCATCATGATACTTAAAAGCCATTCATATTGTTCCCTCTAAGCATTGACAAGACCAAACCCTGCTTCACTACATCATGGCAGCTACCTCATGTGCCTTCACACCATATCCTGGAACCTGTAGAGTATTTATTTTTGCCAGTTTATGCTTCCAGACACTGGAGACAATGAATATGATACCTACCAAACGAGCTGTCTCAGCTTTCTCTTCATCAGCTCCAGCCTTGAAGATGTTCACAGGTGCTAGTGACATGGATGCCTGAAATAATTGCAAATCAGAATCACATATAACACACAACAGAAACTTAATTTTCAAGATCCTTTGCAAAGTACCATGTATCTTACATGTTTCATAATGTACTTATTGCATGAATACTATCTAATTACATTTATTTTAGTGGTATTTCAAAACGCCAAACATTTTTAGTGGTATTTCAAAACACCAAACATGAGTCAAATGTCTGAAAGAACATTGCAATCTCACCTGTACTTTTTTCACACTTAATATTTTGTCACCCATTCGTTAGGGTAGCTACATTATTTTTAAGTCATTCACACTGGAGACTTATAAATTATATTTAAATCTCTTGTTTTGCCATTGGAACTACTATATTTATTAACACAATCTCTTTAGTGAGGTTAAATATTTATCAAAATTGTTTTTTTTAAAAATTACATGCCCCACTTCCCATTTGGAAAGTCCAAAAGCAATTGACAAAAAGTTGTAAAACAATCACAATAAAAGCACAACATGGAGACAAGTTACTGTCTGGGGAAAGTCAGGATGAACAAATAAGATTTTAATAATTGTAGAAAGCACATAACCATCAGTGCCTGACATACTGAAGAAAGGAAATAATTCCAGAGATATATTTAATAGATACAGTAAAGCTATATTCCTGGTGGCAGAAGAGGTCTTTCCCAGCCCTGTAACTATATTAGACAGCAAGAAAAAATGGAAAGGTGGGACAGGCTGAGTGTGAAAACAGATATGGAACTGTAGAAACAGCTTTTCCACAACTCCCAAATGGACAGAAAGCATGAAACTGTAACAGGGAAATTGGCGACTTAAGAACACCTATACTGGATTTGAATTGTAAGCCGCTCAGAGACCACTGGGTATTAGACGTGGTAAAAAATACCCGAATAAATAAATACCTTTCCCTTTTTTTTTTTTAAAGAAACACTCATATTCCATGCTTCTCTAAGAGAGTGAACGATCAATGAAAAACAAGGCAATTCACACCCTCAACCTGATAATCTAAAAACTAATGCTTCGAAAGGTTGCAGTTTTCTGTCCCTACCGCAAGCTACGTGCGGAAGCTCGGCCTTTCTACATCAATGAGGCTACAAAGGGAAAGCAAAGCCGCCATGAACGATACATTTACTTAAGAACGCAGTTTAGAATACAAATTATTGAGATTTGTGCAGTCTCTCCTCAGAGAAAAGGAGGCGCGGCCGGGAGATGGGGGGGGGGGGCAAATCACGCAGGCATCTCGCTAAGCGAAATGCTTTGTCGAGGAGGGAGCGAGGCTCGCGAACCGCAACAGCCCTGGAGGCTTCGCGGCCTCGCCAGAGGGGAATCGATCTCCTCCTCCGTTGCCCGCCCCGCGCTTCGGGCAATTCTGGAATCTTCCATCGTCCTCCTCCCCGCAAAGGCCTAAGAGCGGCCCGCTCCCCTTCCTCCGCGGCGCCCACTGCTGCCGCCACTCCGGCAGAAGAGCACGGAGCACAGCGCAGCACTCACCATGGTGAGGACGATCTCAAGGCCTCTGCTCGAATCTCCCAGACAGCCGCCTCGTGCCCGCAAGTGCCGCCGCCGCGCGCTCCTCCCAGCAACCAAGGAGCGCCGGAAGTGAGGCCATGCGACCGTTTCTCGTTCCGGAGGAAGGAAAAAAAATCGTTGACCAGAAAATGTTGCATGCCGGGAGGTGTAGTTCCTCCAACATCTCCTCCAATCAGGCTGTAGCCGTAGGTGGTCCACTTAAGCGGAAGGAAACGCTATTGAATTCAATGGGGCTTATCGCGCTCTGTTGCTGGGGTTGACATAAAAGGCCCTCGGCTTGCATCACGCTCACGGGCCCTTTCACAACGACATATTTAGAAGAAGCTGTATTTTTAAATTAAGGAAAAGCCGAAGGCCCGAATGAGAGCGCTGCTATCGCCAGAGGACTCCCACTAGTGGAGGCAAGTGGGAGTGATAAGAGCAAAACTGCCGAAGCCTCTGTTGCTGGGTGGGACAACTGCTCTTCTATAATTCCTTCAAACTATCAGCCGAATCGACTCTTCATCCATACCATCGTCATACCGTACGGGGGAGCAGCAGTGCCAAAATAAAATAACCGTGTTGTTTTATTACAAGTGCCCACGTAGCACTTGTTTATATACATTTAGTTCCCCCAGCGCAGAACATACTTCCATAAGCTCTCAGAGTTGACGACTGAGTTACCTAAGGGAGCTGAGCAAATTCTATTGAGTCAGATAGGGAGACTAGCGAGCCTATTGAACTCTCAGAGCACCCGTTGCTTTTCCCTAACATTCATTCTCAGCTCAAATGCAACACTGAGTTGAATTGAATTCCCAGAAAATGACAGGAGCAATGGAAACATTACAAGTTAAACCATTGGTTTATCTAGCTCGGTTTTGTCTATGGCACCCACTCTTGACCTGATCCTCTCTGGTGGGTGACCTTCCCTGCTTGGAGCCTTCTGAATGCAAAGCTCAACAAGCCGATTGTTGACTATACTCTTAGGGCAGAGGGTCTATCCCTTCTTCTGTCATTCTGCAAGTGTCATGTACATTTATTATGAAATCTGAACAAAACTGAACAAAACCCAAGCATTGTATGTGTGATGTCCTAACATTATCTGGGCTGCAAGAGCTTATCAATGTGAAATATGCATTAAAAATAAACATTTCAGTTCCCTTTAAGAAAAATACTACCACCACAAATGTGTGCATGTGCACTCCCCATGCATCCAATAAGTAGTGAGCACTCTTAAATAGTAAAAATCATTATTTTATTGCCATGCCACAATTCTTATGAAGCTGGCACAGGTGAGGGACAGTGTTGTCAATAGTACAGAATATATTTTAAAATGGACATCATCTGGTAAGCTCAATGAAAAAACATGCCAAAATTAAAATAGTAGTATATGGCTGCTGAAAACAAAACATATTATGAATCATGTAAATGGCAACTTTCTCTGCAAAGGAAGCCTGGGAAGTTTGAAATGCACAGTAGGGGAGAGGAATTTAAAACAGTTTGCAAACCTTTTAGGAGCATTTTGGCAACTCTTTTAGGCGGGTTTTTTAATATATAAAATAAAACTCTAGAAAGCTACTTTTATACAAAGTTGCTATATTGATGCCTTTATGTAGGAAAACATTTTTTATAATGCAAAATTAGGACATACAACAACTTTACAGTATTTTACAATGTAATGACAAAAGTAACATACAAGTACAGTTTTGGCTTTTATAGAAATGTATAGTTATGCATTTAAGAAATGCATTTGTGGCACACTGGTGATTACAAGACTATTATTGTCTGTTTACATGCTAAGACCTTAGATTAGTTGTACCGTAACTTCTGAAACATTGTTTGGCTTCTCTAACCGCACAGTGATTCCGAAGACATAGCTGTACATAATGTTACAATGGAATGAAATGTTATGCTTAAAAATAAAATTAAAAAGGCACCATACTTGCTGGTTGGGACATGCCATATTGTGGTATACCATACAAACACTATTTCCTTTTACAAAATGGAAGCATTTCCTATACATTCAGTAGCAATCAATGTCTTACAAACAAGACAGGTGGCATTCAAGGTTTGGCAAATACCAGGGAAATACAGAATTAGTACCATATATGTATTTTATAATATTTATATATATATATATTTATATATTGCATTGGGAATTAACAGGGAGTTCAGGTTGCTGACATCTGTTGCTGAACAAAAAGCAAAGTATACAAATTCCTGAGTGAAGGGCCCTCTCTATTTTTAAAATTATTTGTTTCACACAAAATACCTCAAAATCAATGCAGTAAAGAAAAATTCAGATAGCAAAATAATTCTAAACACAAATAGGAATAAAGACTCTTCAGTTATTATTCATATAATTTTATGGTTCTACTACATTTTCAGTTAATTTGTGAAAATATATGATAGCCACATCATCCTGTTTGATGCAGACACATCATGCTAATTAGACATGTAAGCTACACAATAAGACTTCAATAATTCTTCCCCCTTGCAGGGAGGTAGTTGGGGAACAGGCAAAATCTTCGGGCAAGTAACTTTCCATATACCTTCTCATCTCCTCTTCACTGCCAATTAGGATTTAGGGACATAAGAACATGGCACGATCAATGTTGATTTGTGGCAAATTTCACATTATCAATCCTTTGTGATGGGCACACATTGAGGATGTTGTCAGATTGCTCTAATATGCCCCAAGACTTCTGAGTACATGTGCAACGTATATAAATAGGAATTATCTCTGCACTCCATGGTCCTTGGCTTCACAGGATCTTTTTAGAAAGTTTCAAGGGTCAGTTCGTTGGGAAAGATGACTTCTCATAGCATGCCCTTTATGAACACAGAGGAAGACTGTCCTATGTCACGAGAACTTGTAACCTCATTGCTAATGACAGTTATACATTTCATATTTATACAAATGTACAAAAGTACATTTAATGGTTATGGTAGGTCACATATACTTTACCAAATATAAAATTTAGCAACCTTAAAATTTTTTAAATGCCCTTTGTAAATCATATTATTACAGATTTTTTTTGTTTAAATCAACACTTCATGGTCTATGAAATCACCTTTGTCCGATACTAAATTTTATTCTTATTCTTTCACACAAAATGTACAGCAATCTGAAGCAAACAGTGGGTTGGATCCTGAGAATTCTAACAGAAAAGAAGTTAGTGGGAGGGAAATGCTCATTTCCTCCCCCAAAACCCCCTCCAAAAACTCAAGGGTAATTTGGGACTGTGGTATGGATAAAGAGATTAACTGTGGGGCTCCACTCATGCAAGATTCCTTTGCTAGAAACCTGTTGCACCCTATCCCATTCCAGAGGTTTTCAGGAGATTAACATGGAGAACCCCTTTCCTTTGGCTCATGGTTCTCAAGATCCAGCCCAGCAAAGTAACCTAGTAAACCAACCAAGCACTTGAAAAAAATAACACATCTTGGCCATATTTCAAGAGCAATTAATTACAAAAACCTTTAATGCCCATGGCCAAGGTGATTTCGTGCATCAAATTTATTAAATTCAACAGGTTATCCAGAAGTAGTGTTTTAGAACTGTAGAAGGATGTAAGCTGAAGATAAGCTTTTCTGACATATACACCATGACATGAACACTTCTTTTCAGTTACAATCATTTGGAAGGGTGCACACACACATCCATGGAGTTGGAATATGAAAAAAGATGATCAGGTGCAAAGGAAAAAAGTGTTTTATATAACTAGGAACTCTGTTGCTGTTAGTCACACTAGAGTTGAGAGGACTAACTTTAAATATAGAAGCTGAACATTCTGTTGTTACTATGCAAACACTGGCAGATGTGAATGCATGGTTGTTCACAAAGTGAAAGCTTAGCAAATGGTGACATATAAAAAAATATTAAACTGATTGTGTAGTGATGGACAAACAATATAACTTCCTGACAGTTAGGACCCCGAGGGTATGGAATAGGCTTCCCCGGGAGGTGGTTGAGGCCCCATCGATGAGGGTGTTCAAAGATAGACTGGACATGCACATGGTGGGCATGTCGTGAGAGAGCTGGCTGGAGCTGGGGGTCAGACTAGATGGCCCAGGAGGCCCCTTCTGATTCACTCTGTTTCTGTTTCTATAATGCCAGAATGTTTTTTTTTTCAGCAAATGTTACTCATTTTAGATGTCCAAATATAATGCAAGATCCCATAATTTGCTTTTAGCAAAATCTTGTTTTTTAAAAAATTGTGTTTTTGGATTTCAAGAGCCAGATATGTTCTTCAGCCTTGGTAAAATTACAAGGAATAAACTTTCTAAAACAGGGTGGGAAAAGGTTTTACATAATTATATGAATCAAAAAATGAGAGTCTCAGTTCTTAACAAAGTCCACAAATTAATCACTGTAAAGTGAGATTTCATGCAATACGGTTTCTATCTTGTGTGTTTAATAAATGAATGTTGTATACTCAGTGTACTAGTATGTTGTATCTGCAACAGCACTCAATATTTTACATTTAATTTCACCTTCCCTTGCTGGTCCAAAAATAAATCTTAGCAAGCTTCCTGTATGTGATTTCTCCTTCCAGAATGTATGAAATTGCACCCACAGACTTTCTACCTTCAGCCCACTGCAAAAAAATCCAGTATACTTTATAACAAATATTTGCAGCGGAGAGTGGGCAGAATAGGGCAGAATTGCAAAATGAGTTGGGAGCTGGAAAAATACGTGGCTAATTTTTAGAACCACAAACAGTAGACCAGTTCTGTCAGGGTCATAAGATAAACAGATTCTTTGCTTCAGTTAGAAGCCTTACTAATTTTGTGGGTTAACAGATACAATAGTGCAAATATTGTTAAACATAATATAAACAGCTGTTGATGAACAAAGAGGGAAATTGTGGCCACAAAGGGGAAACTTAAAATTCCTTTTGCACCTATCTTGCACAGTACTTGCACCTCCTTTATGTGTGGTTTTGTGCTAGCAATCCAGAAAGTTGAGCATCAGGACAGAATTCACATGACACATAGTTGACTGTGCTCACTAGCATATATCAGTGGCATTTAAAAAAAAGACTGCTACCAACACAGTCTTACTGTATCCTAATGCAAAGACAATTTGCCCAACATTGATACCATTCTTATTCACCATCTACATTACAGCTGATCAATTTTGCCACACCTTCAGCAGGTTAAATCAGGACATCTTGACAGAGAATCAAGAGAATTACGAAAAGGTGGCAATGGTGTCTTCTTATCTCACATGGTGGTAGAATGCAATTCAGCTGAACTCTTCTAGTCGATCATGTCAATAGTCTGTCCTGTGTAGGTGATGGATGATCAGTGTGTCTGCAAGGTTACTGCACAGGCAAGAAAGGTGGTACTTTGCACAGAATTGTGTGTTGGCCCAGGAATGAATTCCACATCTTTTCTCCCTTTAAAAAGCCAGCTTAGTAAAACTAAAGCTTGGAAATATATGACCATTGTCTGCTGAAATCCCAAACTAGAAATTTGACACTTCTCTTAGGAAACACGTGCCTTTCAGATTTTTATGCAAATTTGATTGGCACAGAATAATTTTGTTTACACTGACACATACATACAGGTTCATGGATGGAAAATCTAGAAAGAGAACTAAATCTATGATTTTACAAAGATAACTGGAGATAGAATAGCATTGCCCCTACCCATTAGTCTGGTAATACTATTATCTGTCAGTAAGGCAAGCTATCAGATCTTGTCTTGTACATCTCAGTACAAAGACAATTGAGCTGTAAAGACTTCAAATGTGGCAACATTTGCATATACATTGAATCTTTTTCAACAATGAAATGATGGGGTAATTTTACAGCTAGGTTAAAACACCAGAGAAAAGTGTCTTGCATTCTGTTAAAGCATGTTACTATACAAAAATATTTATGAACAGCATGATTTTAGTATTGCAACTATTCTTTTGCAGGATACTGTTGAGGAAATGTCACCACTGTGTTAGCTATTTTCCCCCACAGTGTGTGTTCAGTGCTTTCCTGCTAAGCACATTGCAAGTCAAATGCAACTATTAATACTGATGGCAAAACTAAAAGGAGCTCTGAATTGGCAAACGATGAATTTATCACGTTGACGAGTCTCCACTAAAGTGCATATCTTGTCATTTGATAGCAGCTAATCAGACATGTCTGTCTGTCCCACTTGAAGAGGCAGAGATGAAACCATTTAAAAGCTACTTCAGGTGACAGAAAAGAAAGCACTCCCCTAATTTCTTTCCAACATACATGGAAATGGTGTTCAGGCACATAAGACAAAAAGGAAGGCTGGGAGTCCTGCAGAATTCAGACAACCGATCAGATCAAGGCTCTGTCCAAAAAATAAAGTTCTGTTCACATCCCCTCTGATATTCTACAGTACCGTATTCTTTGTAATACCTGTTTTGTCAAGCAAGGTCACAGACCTTCACAGAATGGATATTGCCAGTCAGGATCCAGTTTGCTGCAGAACATTTATAGGCAGAGGCATTTCCAGACATAACTGGAGAACCAGTGGTACAGTGGCTAAGAGTGTCCAACTGGGGACCTACGAAGCTCACTGGGTGACTTTGGGCCAGTCACTCACTCTCAGCCAAACCTACCTCACAGGGTTGTAGCTGAGAGGATAAAATGGAACTACGTAAGCCACCTTTGGTTCATCACAGAAGAAAAAAGGTTGGATGTGAATGCAATGTAATAAGTACAGTTGCTTTTAGGGAATGTCAATATTCTCCAGACTTTTTAAAAATATCCAGACCAGAACCTCTTAAATTTCCAGACAATATTCATGCCTAGGTAGAAGGAAAAAGGTTGTTTTTCAACAAACAATCTTATCATTTTGCCACAATGGAGCATTCCTTCTGCTATTTCTTTCACAGAAGTTAATAGCTGTATAAGTGATTAGCTTTTCATATGGCAGGAGCAGGAAGGTATTTCAGGCAGTCTAGCCTGTTAGGTACTATTGAAATGAAGAGAATTTTAATAGAAAATTAATTCTGTTGGGGTGTTCTTCACGTAAGAATTTCAGGATATTAATTCGTTCCAATACTGGAGGCAGTATGTCTCTGAAAATCAGTTGTTGGGCAACATCAGCAAGAAAGTACTTTTTTGTTCATGTCCTGCTTATGGACTTCTCATGGGCATCTAGTTAGCTACTCTGGAATGCTAGAATAGATAAATGTTCTTACACTTATCAATGGTGGGTGACTTGACTATTGCTGGAAGACACTTAGCTTTTTAATATCTTTTTTATTCTTTTGCATAGTTTTGTTCACTATCGAGCAGGACGTATCTAGAGATGTGAAGTCCCACAGGAAAAAAATGAAAAAACCAAATGACCCGCATTTCCCTGCTTAGGTATAATCATTTTATATTTTTCCAGTGAAAATATGGAAGGGCTTTCTTTGCAGCAGGAGAGGAAACCACTCTCTCTCTATTTTTAAAAGCATTTTTAAAGTAGCATAGCTACACAGCCAATTCACACCATTGTTAATTATAGCAATGCTATTGTCTTTGAATTACAAAATAAGCAACACTCCAATTTGATGCTGCAGAATACAGAACATATGCAGGAACTTGGACGTTTCAGAAGTTCAGAATATTTTAGGGTACAATTCAATCAAGATGATCAAGCACTTAAACTAAGGATCATCCAGTGCAGAGTGGGAGAAACAGCAGGGGTGATCTTCACCTTCCTCCTCCTCCCACCTTGCATTTTTGCTAAATAGACTGGTTGAGTCACAAGGAAGAAAGCTGCAGAGAAAACAGGATGTTTTGTGCCCTGGCATTTGCAATCTCCTCTTCTTCCCTCCCACCTGTTATGCACCCAAGGCTGTGTTTCTGACTTGGAGAAGCAGCAGCTGCAGTTCTTTTTATGCTAGTTCTGAAGGGTGGGGATGGATCTGGCGCAAAGAGTTTCAGCTCCCAGGTTAAGAGTTCTGTCTCTGGTCTCAGATCTTAGAATGTGAAGTATCTCATGCTATAATGTCTAGGGCCCACTGGATTGCTCTTTTAGACAATGAACAGAAAGAAAAAGACCTGCATTTTGCCGGTATTTTCAATTACACGTTGCTGTGATTTCATGGGATATAAAATAAAATAAATATGGGGTTGAGATAGATGATTTTCTCAACAGTTATTATAAACACTTCTGTTGCCCCCTATTGGTATTTGTTTGGAAGCAAATCCCACTGAATTCAATGGCACTCAATCCAAATAAAGGGCCATAAAGTATAGGACTGCATTCCACAACTCCTTAATTACATTATACAATTCAGAGCTTCTCTCTAAAACAAGGGTATATAACCTGTGGGTCTCCCAAAGTTGCCCCACTTTGCCTCACTGGAAAGAACCATCTGTATGGGGTTTGCTGGGGGAGGGGGTGGAAAAAAAGAGAGCCTTTCCACAGTCCTGCTAGCAGCAAGGTAAGAGCTATGTGTATCAAGATTGCTGGAGCTGCTGAAAGTGTGTCTGTGTACAGCATGCACACACAGCCTCCAAACCCATCCCATGCTATTTCAGTCGGGAATTGGTTGTGCACCCGTGCTGTAAAGTATGAATGTCCTTTCTGCCTAACGATCCTTTGCCCTATATGCAATCTGAAGCCCCTGTAATAATAAAGTTAACACCCTATTAATAGGGCTTCAATTTTTATTCCTCCCTCATTTCCCTGCTGGTAGCATTTAGAATACATTGAAGTACTTTATGGTGCCATGCAACACATGTCCACTCAGAAGTAAGTGCTACTAATTTCAATAGAACTTACTTCCATGTAAGTAGGCACAGGTTCACAGTCTTAGACGGACCTGCAAGCTGCTGCACCGTAACACCAGACAGATGTGTAGCTGTTGTTTAAATAAAGATATGTATAATTTTAAATTTCATAAATACACCAAACAGTACCACTGTGAGCTAAGTTACAGTATACAAATCATGTTCTTAAAGTAATAAAGTTAAGGTTTGATAAGAAACTAAACTTCTCATATTTCCCCCCATTATTTCTGTTTTGTTCTTCTTTGCCTGGAAAAAAGCCAGAAACAGTTTCCCCGCAAGTCTTTAAGATGCATAGAAATGGTTAGATCTCCACATGTATCACATCATAACAACTACTCCTTGGCAACTGTAGGTTCAAGCTGGTCAGCGTTGCTATGAAGTGCACCGCAAGCTTCTTTACTGTGAATTTGAGGGACTCATGAACAGATTGTAAGGTAAGATCAGCAGATGCCAAAGGTACTGGGAATATTCAGCAGCAATTAAGCTGTCAAGCATTGATATACCCATAGGTATTACCTTCAGATATTCTCTACATACTCAGTAGTTCCTCTAGTCTTAATACCTGCTGGGCCAGCAAACAAGATTTAAGTCAGAGCATACTGACACCAATGTCAGCAGAATACAACAAAAGAAGTATATATTGGCAGCACTGAAAGAATATTATGCTTTGAATTCAAGGTAGATGCTACAGATTATGTTCTCATTCTTGAAGAACGCAAGAACCCTTATTATTTATGGACTCACATTACTGTTATTGATAAACTATACAATATATGAAACCCAGCATTCTGACTACTACGTTGGCCACAGCTGTTTTCTTCTGGAATAAGCCAAACACAGAAGCTCATGTCTCAACATAACCCTATTAAGGTGCCAGAGCACTTTTGTCCTCAAACATCTATAATGCATCTTTCCATTTGTGCAAGTAATAAAAAGGCCTTTCTGGTGACAGTATTACCAATGGGCCTCCAAAATTCATTTCCATGGCAAAACAGAAATTGAACAAGATGAAACACACAATATACATTGAATAAAGCCTATGTACAAAATTAACAGTTTGCAACATAAAGACTATATGGCCAAATAAACAAATGAAAGGCAAGGAATGGAAGAGACATTTTACAGAACTAAAAGCTTAAAAGATCCCACCACAGATAAAATGTACTTGTTAATTACACATCACAGATGTCTACTATGCAGGTGTCTGCACAGTCATACAGAAAAACTTGAAGCTGCCACTTAGAAATCAGCTGATTTCAAACTTGAATGAAAGAAAATGATGAAAAGAGAACAGGATGTGACCTCTGACATGGCAATAGTGGCAAGTCAAGCCTGAAGATCTTTTCACAAGATGGACTGGAAAAATAAATATAGGCTAGAATCCATAAAGACCTGTGCACTAGTAGATAGTGCTTCTGCATGTGCAAGAGAGAGCTGAATTTTATTTTCTTCTGGCTACATCCCCTCACACTGCGTGGGATGCTACTCCAAAGGATCTCCACAGCTTTGTGAGAGGGATGGGTCACCAGGGTTCTGACCCAAACTAAGGGCCAGCAAAACCCCAATGTCCTTGCCAAACCATTTATAGCCCTTTAGCCATACAGCACCATACTAGCAATTTTAATATCAGTCATCTCACCCTACAAAAAGCACAAATTTATTCAGGTATATCTCATCCCAGTCCCCGTCCCCCACATGGTATACCTTCTTTGCACTCGTCACTGTAATTTTAAATTTGACAGAGCAAAAACAAATCCTAGAATTGCAGAACATGCTCATTCTGAATGCAAATGGCTCTGACAACACAGCATGTTTTTCAATTACTAGTTGGATGTATGGCTGGTGGTTTTAAAGTGCATCTGGTCATTAGGGTAATGGACTTTTTTAAAACTGAAACCAAGTGCTAAATGAAACTTCAATGTAAGTTTATGATGCTACTGATTTCCATCTGTTTTTCCTCCATCCCAGATCAGACACTCATAAATAATGGCACTCTATTCAGTATTAAAATTTGAAATATACTTATGGATTATTAATAGATTTGCATTCTTCTGTACCATGGCAAGCTGCTCCTATTGGAAGGGGATTGGAGAACGGCAGCTATCAGGTCCTTTTCCATCAACTACACATCAGTTTCTGTGCCAGAAAGCCATTTAGTGTACAAAAGAAGTTATACTATGCTTTGACTCAACTCAGACTGACCAGAATTTCTCTCATTTATGATACATGAAGCCATAAATTCAACTAGAATATGTGAATCTACAGACATGCATTATGTGAGATTATACTGATCTGTGAGTAATGCAAGTTTCAAGAGGCATACAAGTGTCATAATGCCGTCAAGTGACTTTAGGCACATGGCCAGTCTATCAAAATTGCCATGTTGCTACAATTTTCAGTCAATGGAATAGGCACCATAAAAAGATGGAAATGCTATCCAAAAGCTGTTACTACAACTGTAAAATTAGTGTTATATAATAATCTTCTTGCCTTAAATTCCCTTTAAACAAGCACATGAAGTATTCAGAAAAAGCTATCAATCTATGAAAGGTGATGGCATTTAAAGATCAAAACAGGGCACTCATTCATTAAAAAAAAAAAAAACTTCACAAAGGTGCAAATGATTTAACTAATGCTTTCCAGGCTCACATAGGCAGGTCAGTACTGTTATGTCTAGTTTTTCTAGAAGTACCATCGTCTCGTGGCAGTGCTTTCTGCAAGCTTGACATAGCAGCTGTTCTTTCAATGTCTATCACAGCATACAGCTCTGTGCGCCTGGTGGGAGTCTGTGGAAGTGGAGTGGTAGGCGTTTTTGGAGTCTGAGGGTTATCAGAGTCACTGCCACCTTCCAGATCAACCTGTATATAATTGAGCTGCCTGTGTTCCGAACTTGGTCGCCTAATATCAAAATTAAAAACTGTCGGGGCACAGTCTTGACGTCTTGCATACTCTACTTTGTGAGCACTGGATGGCACCGTTACGTTCTCTGTATTAACATAATTATGCATGGGATCTAGATTATTGTGATAGCCATTCAGAGAAGGTGTCTTTGGTCCTAAACTGTCATCCTCCTCTTTACTTAGCTTGTGAGCTTCCCAGACTGGAGGCAAAGATGGCAGATTTTCATAATTTAGCAATGCAGTTCTCCTCTGAGCGGAATTGTTGATATTCTGGGTATCAGAGGTACTAGATGATATCAGACGACCCCTCCTGAGCCCTGGGACACTAGGAATGGACAATCTGTTTACGTTTTCATATGCTAGCTTGTTACCAGAGGAAAGTTCTTTACGTTCATCACTGTCATACCCAGTGTCCCATTCATTGTTACTGCTCCCACTAGCTTGAGTACTGCTCCCACTAGTTTCAGTGCTGTTTCCACTAGTTTGAGTGTTGTTCCCATTTGATTCCAGTTTTTCTTTTTCCATTAACTGTCTCTGGACAGGTGTTGGGCCCAAAACAAATTTAACTCCTTCAGGTTCCAGTACAACCTGGGCATCTGTGTCATCAGAACAAGTTTCATCTTCTCTTGTCTTGCTCATTTCGGCATTGGAAACCTTTTGTTCCAGAGGAGTACGCACACTTGGCCTGCTTTTCCTTTCCTCCTGTACACCAGTTGTATTCACATATGTATGTACCTGCAAACAACAAAATCAAACATCAGAAGCGGTATCACATGGTTACCTGACACTTCAGATTCCCTTTTTGTTCAGGACCACACATTTGTCATATCCTGGTACACAGTTTCTTACAAGAAAGCAGTTCAGAGGACTTCCACCACAGAAAAGTGCTGATAATTTCACTCTAATTTGTAGATTCATGACTAAGTACACAAGAATTAAATAGGAATATGAATACTATGAAGTAAAATTAACTTACTTGTTCCTCTGCTACAAGCAAGGGATGTGTTGACTCTTCACCTACTGAAGGAAGACGTGTACTTCCTACAGAAGGGTGCCTGCTGGAGGGATGTGAGGAAGCATCTCCATAGGAGGGATACCTCGGATACCCATTAGGTAAACTCTGCCCACTCAACCCAGGTGCTGATTAAAAAGAAAATCCAGTTATCATATTGATATTAAAATGCCCACATTGTCTAACATAGTAGTAATAAATATTAATTCATTACAAATGAAACAATGACATTCAAAAACCTTGACTGGGTACATTGGTTGGTACAGTCTGATATCATGAAAGCCTGGAGACAAAACAATTGCCCTTGGCCATGTTTACCAGGAAACACAATCTGATTTCCTCTCATGTTTACAATAATCTAATTCTACTAAATTGTTTTTTAAAAGCTGAGAAATTTGTATGACCCCTGTTTACAAGCATTTTAGAATACAAAGGACAGAACAAAACAGTACTAGAATTGGAAGGAGCCTATAGGGCCACTGCTCCACTTCCATGTGGTCACCCATCCACCTGCGAGATGTTGGTGTATTAGCTGTTCTCTTGAGATAACTGTTAGAGCATCTATTAAAATTTCCAGCTGCCTAACTCTTTCAAATCATATAATTTAAGCTTAACTCCATTTGATATTTTACATGAGCTATATTAATATATTCTGTAATAGAAATATAGTAAAAGTCCCTGCTCATAATCTTATTATATATTCATGATTAAAACTGAATCTGCATCCTAGCAAACACACTTAGTTAAAAATCACTTTTCTGTGTAAAATGACACACCCGGGGGGAAAAAATATGTGACAAAGTCAAGCAGTACAAACAGCCAATCATGGCTTGTCAAATTCAAATTATAAATATATACAGGGGTGAGGAACTTCAGTCCTGGGTGCCCAAACCAGCCCTCCAGAGTTCCCCAGATGGCCAACTCATTCCATCCTTTGCTGTAACCGCCCTTCCCATTTAAAAGGTTGAAATATCTCTTCTAAGGCTCGATAACTGACAGTAAGAGCTTTAAGGTGCAGACTTATCAATTGCATCCTTAATATTAGGTACCCTATCATACAATGCTGAGCATGTCCTTCCTGTCCTGCAGAATTCGTGTGATGGGCTATTTATTTATTTATTTTATTTTATTTTATTTTATTTTAATTTATTTATTTCTATACCACCCGATTAGTCAAAACAACTCTCTGGGCTTTTTAGCCCATCTAGGCAAGATTTTTCAGAGGGGGAGGAAAGAAGACGTGAAAAATCTCTGGATAAATAGTATCTTGACTTCTCAGGCCTTTTTCTCTCTCCACCCACCAAAATGCCACCTTTCCTCCTCCTCTAAACTGGGTTTTCCAACCTTGGGCAGCTGGTTTCTGCAATGGCTGTGAGGAAGTAGGGGAAGAAGGTCAGATTTCCAACTTTACCTACCAAGGTCAGAGACTGTCTCCAAACTTGGAGATAAAATGTGAATAATCCTTTGGTCTTTGGGGTACTTGCCCAAAGACCACGGGATTGCTCCCTTAAGCATTTGTTGTTGTTGTTCATTTGGCCCAACCCCTTTTGGCCTCTGGCCCTGATTATACTGCCTCCAGCCCTACTCACCACCAGAATGTAGCCCCCAAAAGCTTGTCTGAAATTTTATTCAGTCCACAGGCTGAACAACTGCCTCTGTCTTAAGTAAATTTTAGACAATCAAACTGCACTGGTTTGCAAGCTATACCATTCTGTTCTTGAAAATTCTAGGCATTTTTGTCCAGAAAAGCTCTAGTTCTGATTATTAGGAGAGGCAGAGTGGTACAGTGGTTAGGGCTCAGAGAACCTGGGTTCTAGTCCCCACTTGGCCACAAAACTCATTGAATGACTCTGGACCAGTCACTAACTCTGCCCAATTTACCTTCCAGGGTTGTTGTGAGGATAAAATATGGAGAAGGGGCTCACATAAGCCACCCTGGGTTGCTTGAAGGAGAAAAAGTGTATTTATTACTGCATTTATATCACATTTAGCCTTCTATATATAAATTCTACAGTGCATAAAGCACATGGACAGTATTCGTCTGTGTAGCATTAGGCATATTTAACTGTAAATAGGTCTTTTTGTTTGTAAAACCTAGTATTCATGTTTATTTTGGGAAAGATTGATTAGAAACCAAGTTGGAAATTTGATTTACACATTTTAAACCAATCCACTTGCCACACCCCCATTCAAATTTCTGGATTATTAAGATCCAAAAATAAAAACCTATGATAAAAATATTCTACCCGAACTTGTTAAAATGACGCAATTTAAACAAAACCCTATTTCCAATTAACACTCATAACACTATCCTATGTGTGTCCACTACAAGTCCTATTAAGCTGAGTGCAATGTAAGTGAATACACTATTGTAGCTTCACTGATTTAAACAGCAGCTCTTTTTTCTAACTGAGAAAAAGACTAAAAAAAAAAGCAAACACGCATAACAAACATTAACTGAATTAATTTTGCACAATCCCAGAAAATGAGGTAATCCTCACTTGCATTTAACATAGTAATCTTAATGATTTTTTTAATCTCCTCAGATTCATGTTCTCTTCACCATGTCCCTTGCTGGTACCAGCAAGTATTACCTTTATCTATTAATTCTCAAATGTTTCCCATGCATTGGGTAGTATCAATTATCACTGATAAATATTTCATAAACATTCATTGCATGAAGCAGGTGAAATAAAATATTGTGATAACGTTTAAGACATCAAAAGTGATGATGGGAACTGAGGCTGAATTTCACACTCAGCATGAAAGAGAAACAGACTTACTGGTAGGTGTGCGGGGTGTTCTTGGAACTTCCATCTCTGTTTGATGTGGACTCCTTTCTACTACTGGTTCTTCTACCACATTTATACTATTATTCTGCATGATCTCTTGCAACATATTAAATAGTTCTTCTGCACGGGCACACTTGAATGCAAATATTCCTACAACAATACATTGTCTGTTAGACACCCTAATGGAAAATGTACACTTCCAATAAAAGATGTTGGTACAGTCCATTTAAGCGAATACCTGTTAATGAAAAGGACTATCAAATTTAATTATGTTAAAGCTTTATACATAGTTTTTAATCTCTACAATTGCATATTTAAAGGAAAAGTAATGAAAATAAAAATAAAAGAACCCAAGAAAGAAAATGTGGTATCCACTTCAGGAAACAAAACTGTCTTGGTAAGCAGTAGTCACTTGTGAGAACACAGTTTTGCTGCAGCAAAGGTATTTCAGGTTTTCTGCTCAATTACTGTAACAAAAACAATATAAAATTCCTGTACAAAGAGGTAAAAAGGACTAGACACAGGGTACAAAGTTCAGGTTCATATAAAGGTTAAGGGATGAAGAACTATAAAACAGATCTGGGTGAAACAGACAAAGCCAATCTGGTTATGGTCTCAAGGACAGACACAAAACTAAAGCAGACAATACCATGGTTTTCCCTCTAGTATTGTTCCACTTTGCCTTTCAACAGCAGAGGGAGCCCAACTTACCATCATCAGCAAAGAGAGAACCAGTGCAGTTGCAGCTTTGGATTATTCTTCCATTGAAAGCATTAAGTTAAAGTTGACATTCTTGTTAACAAGTATGTGTTTTTCCTATTGCTGAGCTTTATCTTATCTAACATATTAAAACTATTATATGCTACTCTATTTCAGCCGAAGTGACCACATTTGGTAACAAATGGTGAAACCTGAAGATTCTAGTGTATTAGCTTTACAGCATCTGAACTTCATTGTGAACAAGGTGACTGGGGGGATAGCCATGAACTGAAATGATTCATTTCCCAATTTGCTTCCTTTTCAAGAAATGCAGATCTATAACCTTCAAATGCACTGGATCTATGTATTTAGAACCATTTTCAGAAGGGGTGGTCAACTTTGGGGGCTGCAGGAATATACTCTGGGGGCTGTAACACCACACACAAACAGAAGCACACTTCCTCCCCACCACACAAACATATAAACTTTCTCTCCTACCTCCTAATGCAATAGCTTGGGTTGTAATGGCTGAGAAGGAGAAGAGGTCAAAGCTTTTTCTTCCTCCTTACAGCGATTATGATTCAACTCATTGAGGTTGAAAAGAAATGGGATGATTCTCCTTGGGCCTGTTTCACAGCAGAATCATGCCAGCCTGCCAAACAGCTGATTGATGGACAGACAGGAACTTGATTTTGCCACCACACTGTATGTGAGAAATTATCCTAGCACACTCTCTGTAGCAGAGATGGTAGCATGGGCAGGGGGGATTTGGATGTCAGAATAGCTGGAGCAGCCCCCAGGAGTCACATGTTGTCAGTCCTTGGTTTACAGAATAAAAGTTCAAATGCAACATACACTGCAGTTTTTGCATTACTGCTTGGGAGATGCCCTTATTTTCCTCAGGGAAGCCTGCTTTTCATTTTAAGACTAATGGTACTAACTGATATGACCTCTGAAAATGCTCTCAGGCTTCACCAGCTGGAGATGACATTCTGCAGCTGTAAAGTTTAATACTTGACTAGCTTAAATATATACTATTGGCAAGCACTTGAATACTAAACTGTTTCCTTTGAAATATTCTCTTTATGATAGCTATTAAATCTAGCAAAACTTAATACAACACACAAACACAAACCTCTCACACAAGCAGGAAACACTGTTGTTTATACAATAGGCTGGAGAGTAAAAGGATAATTTCCAGTGATTACACAAGACAAACCATATAAAACATGCTTAACCTCTGATGCATTTCATTATACCCTGAAAAAATTCTAAAGTGTTGGTAAACAGGTGTCTCCAAGTCCATGCTCGTATTTTCAAATACTAATGAACAACTGGGTTCCTAAAGGAATGGTTGAAAAATTCTTTTCACATGACTATAAAGTGATAAAGAAAGCCCAGACATCAATAAAAATTATACTGTACTTTTGAGGATAGGATATAAATGTGTTTACAATATATTTATTTAAAACATTTCTATGCTGCCTATTCTGCCACAGCACCTCTATATATCACTTATCCACATGACAGCAATGTTGGAGAGGTCTGAACTGTGATACAATATATGTAAAGCCATGATGTAAGTTCCAGGACTTAACCAAATCCATAAGCAAGGCTTGAAAGCAATTGTTGTCTCTGACTATTTGATGCCAACTACTGCGATTCAGAGGCATATTGGCTTTCAACATGGAGACTGTAATCAACTATCATAGATAATATGCACTGACAGACCTATCCTCCAGCAACTTGTTTGAGTAAATTATCTATACCCAATGGCTTGTACATTTTTGTTAGCTCATCTCTCATCATCTATTTGATCCAGACCTATTTAACTGAGCTCAGGTATGGATTTCTGCCCAATGTCTTTCATAATGAGCAACTGAAAATACATTCATTTCACTATTCTATAGTATCTGTCCTTCTTCAGTTTATCCTAATGGTCTAACTGCTTCCCTTTAACATCCCATTTTTGTAAGCAGTTTTGGAAACCCATTATCAGGCAAAATTACACACTATAAATATTTAACGAATACATATTTAGCGCCCATCCAAGTTTTTGGCACAACTGCAATGTATCCAGTAAATAATTGGTTATTTTTTACATGCTAAAATAAATGTATATAATTAAAACCTAAAATCATTCAAAATGGTGAAATCAGTTTCTTGTACCCAAAGGCATAGGCTGTTTCCTTCAACAGCAGCCTTCCACACCTCAGGTCAAAGGTGTCTTAGGAACTGACGTATATCTCAGCAGTACTGCAACATGGACAGCTGTTCAACATAAAAAATAAAAACCATTGGCCCAGTAAATTCTTTTGTGTGTTCCCAAGTGGTGGTTCTATATCATTTCTGACATGCTAAAAGAAATGCATATAATTATAATGCAGCATTCCATCATTTCCTGAAATGTGAGCTAGTCAGAAGTCTTACCATCATATATTAATGGAGGTATCAGATTAACACATGCATCTGATGATCTGAATAAATCTTTCTTTTCATTTTGAGGAGCTGGGAAGTACCAGGCTGAATTTCATTAAGATGCAGGTTTTCTGTTTTATCTGAGATCAACTAATGATGCTTGAAACTACTGTTGGTCCAGTGACTAATGCATCTATCTAGGTCCTCTGTGGGACCATTAGGACACACACACTTTTACTTTGCATCTTAATTCAACTCAACAAATAAATGAGAAAATATACTATTATACATACCTGGTCCTGTTCGACATCTTCGACCACTTTCAAATGAGAAGAGATTGGAATCATAGCCATAACGGCGCAGACAGAGGTAATGCCATTTGACAGAATCACGTTTACGGGTATATAAGATTAGTTCTCTGTCTGTAAGTTCCATTATACCAGAACCCAATTCATTACCATCATCATCCACATTAATAACCTATAAAACATTGTTTAAGAAAATTAGATGCTGGTACTTTTAAGGCAAATAGCAGCAAAAGAGCTACTTACAATTCATTAATCCCCACTATATAGCTTAACAAATATATTATGTAAAAATTTTATACAATAAACTAATACATTTGGTATGGCTCCCAGGAACAAAGAGTTCAAAAGGTATTTTATTTTTTCCCTAGAGTATATCAGGGATGTACAGACCACATATACCTCCCCTGTGACATTTCAAGGCTGACTACTAATGTTTGTTCCCAATTATTTAATGATTAATTAGATCATTACAAGCATTAGTCTTGTAATGCTATGGGATAAGGAAAATCTAAGCTGTCTCTGAAATAGTCATGGAGGAGACCAACCACAGCTCACATGGCACACTAAGCCACCAATGAATTAGGCATGGTGAGTGGGTTGTTCACGAAACAATCCACAATGTGCATGAAAGGTGATCAAAAGGATAGAATGGGTTTTTCTTCCTCTCCCTCTCCTTTAGTCCTCCAACTGGTATTTGAGTATCCTACATGGCAGAACCCATCTTGTCTCTCTTTGCTCTTTACTGATTTTCATTCCTCATTGTTTTTTGGGGAGTTGGGGGGCTTCAAGGGTTCAAAATGTACAATCAGTACTGTATTTTTTCCAGCTTCAGAAAACTACACAGATGTGCTTGTAATTTATTTACTGTTGGTTTTTCAGAAGTGAGCAAGTGCATACTTACAGATAACAGATATACATATATAGATATTGCAAGGCTGGTAAGTAAATGGAGAGGAAAGGTGTGTTATCTTCTCTTTCCATTGACTTCCCTAGCCACGAAATTACATATTTCCCTCTCCATTTACTATCCAGCCATGACGTTGTATATATATCCCAATCAAACAAAGTAGTAGTACAATCCAACAAGTACAAATATAAATCTCCCCAGAGGTGATAAAATGGGACAGAACAAATAGAATGCCAATGCCAGAGGGGCTCGCCCACCTCCCCACAATGTAGTCCTGTTTACTCCATACTATTCAGATGCCTCCTCAGGGACCAGAAGGTTTCCGTACTAAAGGAAATACTGTCACTGTTCGCTTTCACTGCACCCACCTTTCCCCCTTTCCAAGTGATTTTCAATTGGCAATTTGCACAAGTGAGTCTATATGTAGTTTTCACTTCTCAATTTCCATTTATAATACTGTGTTTCACTTCAGCTAAAACTTACAAGGAGATTGACTAGGCAAGACTACATATATATTTTTGACACCTGTAAATGAACACATCTGATATGCCAATTAAAAACGAAATTTGAATACATTTCTGAAGCTGAAAAAAAAAGCTGTTAAATCAATTGGTGTTGCTCCAAAGTGTAACTTGGACATTAGGGAAGGGGCTGTCACTGGAGGTGGCATGGACAAGACTGTGAAGAGCAGCAAGGAAGGTTTGCTGCTCTTGCTAAGCAGCTTGCTAGCTACTCCTTGCAACTCATGGATGAATTTGTCTGCCATACAAACACACTGTGGGGTTAAGTAACTCCTAGAACAAGCCATGGGCTGTCAGAGTGGCTTGTTTCCCCCAAATAAACCTCCCTGTGGGAAGGAGTCTGAGTTCATACAACACAACAATTTACCATGGCTGCTGTGTCATACCAACACATTCAATATTTATAAAACAAATACTTTGGATTAATTTATTGTTGACTAACCTTTAAACTTGAAAATTAACTGAATTCAAACAATCAATTCCACATCAAGGTTTCCTGTCCTTATACCTTTCTTGCCATCCCAAAATCAGAATTTCACCCAAAGTGATGAACCCCACATGGAATTTTACCTTGAATTTGTTTCTATGGTTATCAGGGACTGTTTCTTTATCCGGACAGCTACAACAGCTACCCATGACTTCTTTAGAAGACCATGTGATTGCTAAACCCAAAGTAAGGAGAAATTTTTTTTAATATTAGATAAAACTAATACATTCAAATGGCATACAAGATGCTTATAGTTCCACAAAATTAAAGAACATTAGCAGAAGTGAGACAATTAAACACACATGTGGATAAACAGAATGTATGCATGCATGACAGAAAAGTACAATACTTGTTTTTTTTAAATCTGCATAATTAATGTTAGGAAAACTAAATGACTGAAAAATTCACAATGAACACAATGTTTCAGAATTATTATGTTATAATAATGGAACAGCAACCCAAAAGTAAAGCCCAGGCTTCCCCAACCTGATGCTCTCCAAATGTGTTAGAACTGCAACTCTCATAATTCCTAGCTAGCATATGCTACAATATAACACAACTGAAAGAAGGCTGGTTTAAACTATCCATTCAACGTTTGAAAGTAAAATACTATTATTAAACAAAGGAACTGAAGAGCAATTCTGTAGATAGATATGGTTTGTTTTAAAACAATGAACAATATCAGTATACAAGAGACCTACCATATCTGCACAGATAGGCCCCAAGCCCCCATCGGATGCCTGAAACTGTGGATAGTAGTGAACACTATATTCACAGGGCTTGGGGCGTAGGACCCCTGCAAAAGCGAAAAAATGCAAACTGTTTACCTAGGGAAAAAACACAAATATCTCTAGGGAAATACACACTCTGTGCATGCCACATGCTTTGTCTCGGTACCAGCCAGCCTCACTCACGTGTTTTGTCTCTCAGTGGGCATGAAGACTCTAGAGATATTTGCAGTTTTTCCCTAGAGATATTTGTGGTTTATCCACTTTTGTGGGGGTCCTGAGCCCCTAACTCTCATGAATGTGGAGGGCCAATGGTCAACCTCAATTACGTGAAAGGGTGGTAACTGAGACGGTGCTTATAGGGGTCCTGCTGTATTAAGGTGAGGTGTGGGTGGCCAGGAAATAATTACTGGCAAAAAGGAAATTCCAATATTTTGGGGATAATTCTTAAAAGCTTGTTTTGCCAAGTTATCTTCATCAATGAAGTTTATACTGTACTGTACTATACCTTGAACCCATTCAAGAGAATATTTCAAAAACTGAAGAACATCTGGCCAAATACCAGTACACTCACCTAGATTTGGCCATTAATATTCCTAGCCTCTGGCACAGCATCAGTACTTCTGTCATACTTCAAAACATTATGTTGCCCTTCCATGATGATACTTGACCTAGAAATCAACATTTTGAAATACAAAAGTATAATAGAAACTTAGGAAATATATTTTATATAGAAACAATGGTCCAAGAATGAAATAGTTTAAATGAAGGATAACTATAGGGGATAAGTGTGCATACAGAGGATAGCCATGTGATGTTGCCTTTCTACACTGTCATTCGTTTGAGGGTGACCTTTGCTGTCCCTCTCTGAAAGCAAACAGACAGATCAATGGCAGCATTTTACAGTATCATCAGAGAGAAAGTGAGATCTTCAAATTGAGACCCTGAGACTTTTTGTAATAGGACAGGATAGAAAAACTTTAAATACATAAATAAACAAACAAGCAAGCAAACAAACTGAAGCTCAATCCAGACAAGATGGAGGTTTTGTTGCTAGGCGGTTGGGCTTCAGGGAAGGGGACCTTGACCTTGTCCTGAACGGGGTTGCACTCCCTCTGAAGGACAAGGTCCGCAGCTTGGGAATGCTCCTCGATCCAGAACTTTCGCTGGAAGCTCAAGTAACAGCGGTGGCAAGGAGCACTTTCTTTCAGCTTCGGCTGATTCACCAGCTGCGCCCCTACCTGGAGAACGACTGCCTGACGACAGTGACTCATGCATTGGTAACTTCCCGACTAGACTACTGTAACGCGCTCTACGTGGGGCTACCCTTGAAGACGGTTCGGATACTTCAATTGGTGCAAAACAGAGCTGCCAGGTTGCTGATGGGGACTGGGCGTTGTGCTCACGTAACTCCAGTCCTCCGTCAGCTTCACTGGCTCCCCATTGAAGTCCGGGCCCAATTCAAGGTGTTGGTTATCACCTATAAAGCCCTTAACGGCTTGGGTCCTGATTACCTAAAGGAGCGCTTACGTCCATATGTGCTCTCCCATCCCTTGAGATCGGTGGCAGAGGCCCTTCTCCGGGAGCCCTCCGTGAAGGACATTAGGAGGGTGAGTACCCGGAGGAGGGCCTTCTCTGCGGTGGCGCCCCACCTATGGAATGAGCTCCCCAGAGAGGTCTGCCTGGCGCCGTCATTATTTGCTTTTTGGCGCCAGGCCAAGATCTTTTTATTTAAACAGCATTTTAATTGTTGATTTTATTTATTGAATTTAACAACTTTGGCCAGGATGTCTCCAATTGCATTTTATTGTATTAATGATATTTATTTATTTGTAAGCCGCCCCAAGGCTTAGGCGAATGGGGCAGCATATAAGTCCGCTAAATAAATAAATAAATAAATAAATAAATAAATTCTGATACTGCTTAATGGAACATATCTGTCATGCAACAGATTTTTGCTGTTTAGCTCATGCTGAATAATAAAATGGTTACTTCAAAAAGGAAATACATTTTGACTGTTCTTATTTCTTCTCCCATCTTGTGATCCAGTGCCTGTTTGTGCTTGTTAAGTACCCTGCTCCCATACCAAGAGAAGGATGAAGTCTTGTCTCTGATATCATACCAAGGACCTCAGTACACCTCCAAAGCCAAGTATAACTGTAGGTATGAACTCCCCCCATCACTGAACTCTGACCTGGGACAAGTGGAGGCTCATCTCTGCAGCCCAATATGGTAACAGTGAAAACCCCAGACTTTCTTCAGTATATAGGAAGAAGCAGTATTTCAGTGGCAGAGCACACGCTTGGCTGCACATCTTTTCCCTACACATGCTTTGATCAATCTCTGATACTGCCAGTTATAGGTTTTCATGTAGTAGGCCAAAATCAAGAGAAGCACTGTCAGTTTTATTCAGTTCATGGCATTTTTATATCTTCAAATGAGAAGGACAGGAACTCTCTCAAGATTAAACAATGCACTTGTTGGTTTGCCACTGGTGAATATAATTTTGGATTCTTGCCTTTATCCCCAATTCCTGTAGAAAGTGTATTTTAGTGTATTGGCTTGCTTTTGATCTTTGTTTCTCAGTCTCTTCTGATTTAAGGAAACATATGCTAGATGGAAAGCATCAGTAGAAGGTATCCTCCCAGGTTACTTTCCTGTGGCAAGTCATTGCTATCAAGAAGAAAAGAGGTTTTGCTTTTTCAGCAGCTAGAGGGCTGAAGACACATGACTAAGGATTTTCATCTCATGCTTACACTCTTTACCACTAGGCTACAGGCAGCTCTGCCATACACAATCAAGGTTATAAAGGGCTCATTATTATCTCCTAGTCAATACATGCTTACAATTAAGATGGGATCACAAGGAAGAGCATTTCATGCAAATTAATACAAAATACAATTGTTTATAAGCAATTAGAAAACTTTGGATTATATCTCCAAAATTGCATTAGACTTGTTCCACACAACATTATGCTTTCAGAATCCACCTTGCGGTTTACTAGAACCCTGAGGTCCATCAAAGAAAGCTTGGCATAAAATTGTGCCTAAAATAGCACTAACTAATATGGAACAGTGTGCCTCCAAACACATATTCAGCTAAAGAATCTTTGATCAGTAGCAGAAGCAAGAGCACAAGTTCATTCACACAAAAATCTAATCCCATGTCTATCCATCCCCAGTAAAGATGGCAGGCAGAGAAAACTTTTACGTTACTGCTATTATTACAGCAGTAATGCCAGAGACATTTTGCTACCTGAGGCAGGTGAGTAAAATGCATGACCTACCCACCATTCCCATGTCAAATTGTTTTGGTAACTGAAGGAGAAATTCTCCTGAACACCTCTTTCCCTTCACTAGCACCAAAAATGGAATGAGAAAAAATAGAACAACCCTGTGCCACCTGTTCATGACACCCAAACCCAGCTAGCTGAGGTGGCCTCCTTGCCCTGCCTAATAGTAGGGCAAGCCATTAGGAGTTAGAAATTTTTGTCATTCTACTGCAAATAAATGAAAGAATTACCAGCCGATCTCAGTCAACCTTATGCCCATCTCATCTTTAAAAGTATAGTACTACTGGTATAGTATTGTGTACCAAGTCTCTTTTAAATGTGCATCCAGAGAATCTCTGTGACTCATCCTACACACAATATTCCATTGTTCATTTGAGATTCTGAAATGAACATCCTTTCCTCAGAAAATATAACATGGCTCCCCCTGGTGATGAGCAGCATGTCACCCTACAAGTGCCTGCAGGACCAGGAACACACTTGTAGGTCCTTGCAAGGATCAGAGATGTGAAGCTGACTCTTGGGAGGCTGTATAAAAGGCTTCTCTATAATAGCAGCTAATACCTTGCTATGGTAGCTTGGTAGTTGGAAACATTCCGTTCCAGAGCTGCAAAGAAAAACACATGCCTCCCTCGAGTGTCCAGGCATGAGCATCCCTTGGTGTTGGTGGGTGCGGATGTGACCTCCTTGAACTGACTCGATCACTACTGAGTTTGGCTTTAGAAGATGAAAAAGGAAATCCATGTCCTTCTCTTTCCTCCAATTATTTTGATGTTGGGGGCATGGTCAGTGGTGCCTTCCAGGATAGCTAGAATGTCTGCAGAATGGTGGGCAGGAAGGAGATGCAGCTGGTGTTGATTCTTTAGTCCTGACAATGTTAAGGCCAGGTCTGACAACCTCTCAGGTTGGAGCTGTGTCATGATGCCAAGGGCACGGGTCATTCACTGTACTTGCTCATCAAAATTGCCCATGTTCACTGATGCAGAGGTGAGATCCCCAGCATCCACATCCAGAGAGGAATAGCTAGGCTCAACCAAAGGAGCGGTCTCTTCAGCAAATTTGTAATCTTTGACATCTGTTGGCAAGGATGGGTTGAAGAGAGGAGTGGCAGGAGTTGCATGGTGGCACAAAAGCAGAAGTGGGTGGCTGCAGGGGTCCACAAAACTCTTGAAGCAACAAACTTGGCTGTGATCTTAATGGAGATGGTAGGCAAAAGGATGCTGGCAGTTTGGCGAAATGCCCTTGTCCCCCAAAGACATTAGGATAGTACACTGGCCCATTGTGAGGACTGTATATGAGGCCTTGATGATAGTAAACCCACAGATAAAAGAATCCCTGGTAGGGTGGCGGAACCAATAAGACTGACCTCCTGTCTCAGTCCAAGATGGGCGAACAGGCGTGATCCCTGTGGTTGTCAGCACAGAACAGCTCTGGTGGATATTGGACCTATGATGGTACAACTGGTGCCCTCAAAACCATGGGCAATAGAGATGGATGAGGGAAAGTGGAACATCTTGGATCTCCCCCTCCAACACTGAGGGCAGGATGGATTTGAGCCTCAGTGCTGTGAGCAATCAGTTCCAAGGTGACTGATACTGGCTGAGAGTCCATTCAGTGCAACTTTGCTTTGGCAACTGAGGGCTGCACCAGTCTCACCTCTTTGGCCCTCTTGGCCAACTATTTCACTTTCTTGAGGTTCTGGTATGGAAGGAGGTGATGGAGCCACAGTGGCAGCTGCTGAAGGTACAAACTTCTGTGACGCTGTGGAGGCAGTGGTAGATAGATGAGAGAGCTCAGGTAGATAAGACTGAACAGAGTAGGAAAACACGCATTTTCTCCTTTTTTTGGTTTTTGGTTTGTTTTCGGAAGGGAGGTCAAAAAAGGCAACAGTTGAGGAGAAAAGGTTCACGAGCAATCAGAGAAAATGGGTATATAAAGAGTGATGTTAAGTATTAAAAAGCAGAGTATGGAAAAAATGTTCAGAGAAAGAACTTCCAGGGGCATAGAAGGCAGTGAAGAAGAGCTGAGGGAAATGGCAGGAGCTCCTCCCTTTTATGTGGCCACCAGGGTGGGGGAGGAGTTACTAGCAAATGCTCTTAGCTATTGAATCTTCCTGGGAACAGGTTCCATGCAGGCATATAGCCCATATGTGTGATGCATAGAGACCACAGAGGATGAGAAGGAGGGAACAAACAACCTAGTGATTGAGAAGACAAAGCATTGTACGTTCGATCATCTGGCAGACAAGCCCCAAGGACAGCAACAAATCATGGATTACCCACAAGTTGAATAAACCATGAGTTAATGTAATGTGTGAACCAGATCTTACTTGTCATGCCAAACAGAAAGATGAAGCTTAAGAGCATCATTTTAGAGATGAAA